ATGTGTGGACTGTCCTCCAAAAATTCAGCAATTCATAAGGTGTGTACAGACATCAGTCCACACTCATCTAATGAAAACATTCAAGTGTTTGGACTAATGTGGACATACTTTGATCATATTGAGTACACATTTGGACTAATTTTGGAGAACTTAATTAATTTGGATCTGATTAGTTGGGAAAACAGGCAAATTTGTGTTCACTTGAGTGTCTGCAAATGCGATTTTATTTCTTGAAAGAATGAGATATGGCTTTGTGATTATTCCTATGTGCCATTTCCAAATTTATTATAGTGATTATATAGTTGGAAAAGTATTCCTTACGTCAGAGAGATTTTTTTGCGCTCAGAATGACTTGAAATGAGAATTAAATTTGTTGAAAGAATGTGATGTTACTTTGTGAATATCCCTGTGCCATTTCCTGCGAAAAAAAGGGGTACACTAATGCAGAGGGAGGGGTTTTGAAGTCAGGGGGATGCGCGCGCAGTTTTCTTTACTGCTGGGATGAGTATAAAAGGTTCTGTCCTCCTCCTGTCTGGGGCAAGTCTGCGCTTTCCAGATGCTCTCTAGATAAATGCAGCCTTTCTGTCTTTGAGAACTCCCCTGCCAAAGTGGCTCCCATGCTCTGGTGCACAAATGTACTGTGGTAGCCCACAAGGTCAACCCACCTACTTGCTGCTTCCCCCATGGTAACAGCTGGTTAATTCCCAGTCCCACATTCTGGTGCATGCAAGTGTGTCTTATTTTGAGTGAAAGAAATGTTCAGATCACCTGTTGAAATTTTTCTGAGCGTTGCTCTTTGAAACCCACATTCCTGTTTCATTCAGTTTGCTTTCAAAATTTTGTATTCCAATAAGTGTATCATCACAGAAGTGAATTGATTCTCTAATATTTGTTCTTCATCATGATTCTAGGTGTTTGTTCTATATAATTAAAAAAATTGAGAGATGGGTGAAGATATCAAAGAAAAGTTGCTGAAACTTGTCAATGACCCTGTTCCAACATCAGGGAGCAAGGTCACCATTGTTGGGGTTGGACAAGTGGGAATGGCTTGTGCATTTTCCATCTTGACACAGGTTTGTTTTTTTATTCTTCAACAATTTTCACCATTTTACTTAGATGTATCTTAACTTATTGATTTTATATCTTGAGCCATATGTAAGTTCAAGTGTAATAAAAAACAATTGTTTTGGTTCTGCATTTTAATGATTTAAAGACACTTTAACCCAGAAGGTCCATTATTTTTTTGCAGCATGTGGCTTCAGAAATTGCCCTGGTTGATGTGGCACAAGACAAACTGACAGGAGAGATGATGGATCTGCAACATGGCCTTACTTTCTNCTTGAATGGATTTCTCTGCAGTTGATGTACTTACTTATGCTGCCTGGAAACTTAGTGGACTGCCAAAATACAAGGTCATAGGATCTGGAACAAATTTGGACTCATCAAGGTTCAGGTTCCTAATGAGTGAAAAATTAAACATTGCTCCCAGTTCATGTCATGGTTGGATCATAGGAGAACATGGTGACTCCAGTGGTGAATGTTCTTGAACATTGTTCCCTTCAACTACAATTTTTGATCATAATTATCTTTATATTTTCTAGTGCCTGTTTGGTCTGGTGTGAATGTGGCTGGAGTACGTTTGGCAGATCTCAACTCAGACATTGGCATGGAAAATGATCCTGAAGATTGGATAAGGATTCACAAAGAAGTTGTGGAAAGGTGACTTTATTCCTTGTGAAATTTGCAGGATTTCAATACCCAGAAATACAATGGTTTTTTTTTACAGTGCTTACAACATCATCAAACTGAAAGGATACACCTCATGGGCAATTGGAATCAGTGTATCAGTGCTCTGCAATGCAATTTTGAAAAACCAACATTGTGTTTATGCAGTGTCTACTTATGTTAAGGTTGGTGAACTCCCATTGAAATTTTGACTGAACAGGTATTTTCATGAATTTAATTTTGTGTATAGGGTTATCATGGCATTGAACAGGATGTTTTCCTGTCTTTACCCTGTGTCCTGGGAGAGAATGGAGTAAATTCTGTAGTTCTTCAAAATTTGAGCAAGCAGGAAAGAATTCAGCTGCAAAGATCTGCTAGCACTCTTGGCTCTGTTCAAGAAGGAGTTGCCTGGTGATGCAAGAAACAATCTCAAGTATTCTCCAGAGCCAGACACAGTACTTGAAATTTTGAATGTTGTGAAAAGCAAAAATGTGCTGCTGAAGAGCTTCATCTAAAACTGTTATCTGACTTATGTTCCTTCCCCAAACATGTTTTTTTGCTTCCTAGTTGTACTCATAAAATGTCAAATGGCTCTCACTGACACTTTGAAAGCAGTATTTGAAGGCTGAAAAGAAGAACTCACATGAACCAGGCAATACAGTGAGACCCCCAGATGGGGACATAATTGGTGCATCATGAGTGTCCCAATGTCAGATTGTCCCCAAGTTGAATCTTGTTTTCCCGTAGACTTACATTGTATAATTTTTAATTGGTGTTTGATGGAAGAAATATTCTTCAGAATTTCATGAAAAAAATCTAGCCACTTGAATTTGATTCAATGAATATCTTTTCAAACCAATAAGAACATTTGGAACATTGAATAGTGTACCTCTGTACAGTAAATTGAAAAGTTGGCATCTGGAAAAATAACATCCATGCCACAAAGAGAGCTAGAAGGAAGTTCCTCTGCACTATAAGGCATTTTTTAAATTAGCTGAATGGATGGAAAAATAAATGGGAAAAGTACAAAAGAATTTTTCTTGCAAAGATCTTAGGTTGGAAACATCTGTTTCTTGCAAATAAGCCTTATAAAAATTGATTTTCCAGAAATTATTTTGGAATTTTCTCCTGCAATGTTCCCAGGTTGAGTCAGTGTCCTCATGTTGGGTCTTTTTTATGATTATTATGCTAAAAATTAAGTGTCCCCATGTTGAATCATCCCCATGTTGAGGCGTCCGCATGTGGGGGTCTCACTGTACTTTGACAGTGTCATATGTCAAATGTAGCAGAGCTGTGTTGTGTAGTTGTTTATGATTTATGTACAATTGTGTGCATTCAAAGAAATCAAGATGTTCACCTCTTGATCATTTGAGCAAATAAATCACAATGAAGAGAGATGCAACATTCATGTGAAATCTTTTTAATGCCTCCGTTGAAAAAAAAAAACTCATTTGGAACACAACAGCAAGTCACTCACTATACCCCAGGAGAGAAAGCTGGGCTGGCAATAAATTAAAAGAAGTGTATATACATATAGAAAGGAGCAATCAACAAAGTTTTGCTTTCTGTTGATGGCAAAACAGCACTTGGCTTTCATATCAGGCCCTGGGGGTTTCTTGGTCTGGAATGCTGTCTCCTTGGGGCTGGTGGGAGACCAATAGGCCCTGCAGCTGCCACATCCTTGTTGGAGACCTCATTTGGCACTCTGCTATCTTTGTCCACAATCAGATAGTCTGCCTTTTCTGGGTCTTGAATATAATATCTGCAAGCACACACACACACACACATGGATGCTTTTTACCAGTGCAGTGAAATGTTGGCTGATGAATGCTTCTGTTTTGACATATTTGCCAAATGTTACACCTGTATGTTAGGAGGTTCCTGCATCAGCTTAAATTGCAAACAGGGATTTAGCTCGCCAATTTTTTCTCAAATATATAAAATTTTCTCAGAAGATTATCCTGAAACATCCCTGCTGATGAATATTTTGCTGGATACCCCTTTTTTAACCAATGCCCATTGTATTTCAATTCTCAACTCACCAATCTACAATTAATACTGTATCACTTTCCATTTTTTGAAACAATTTTATTTTGCTGAGTAATTTATTGATAAATCTCAATATGCTTTTGGTTCTCATTCCACATATGTTTTTAAAGGATTCTGCAACTAAATATGGCACTGCACAGATTATGTCTTACACTTTTCTACAGGCACCAGCAGGTAAAAAGTGACATGAGCAACACCTATATTACTATTTTTATTACATTTTTGAAAGAAAATTCCTTGGAGTTCAAGTCTAGAGTCTAGTAAGACTTTTTTAAGATGGACTTATTTTTGTTTGTTTTTTTCATGGGCACTTTCCAGGCTTTGGAACCAAATAAAATTATTCCTGTACTTTCTTAAGGAAAAAATGGATTCAGTTAATACCTATTCAGCTAACAAAGTTTATACAGGAACAGATCAAGTTTGTAAGCCAAGACCCCATTGAAAAATTTTGGGAAAATATGGCCTAGACATTTACATTGAATATTTAAGTCTGAAATTAATCTTGTCACAACACTTCCAATGTTCCATATCTTTTTTCAAATTTTAAATATAACCACTCATTCCAAACCAGATTATCTTCTCAATTTAAATTTAATTTGATGATAATTTGTAGCAGGAAACAATATTTTGACTTTCAGATACAGCATTTGAATCTAAAATTATTTTAAAAATGAGTGCTGATACTTTTCATGCATCTGCATGAGATTATTCAAAGGAAACTTACCTGAGAATTCCAAGGTTCTTGTAAAGAAGCCTTGAATTACCGTCCAATTGAGGCTCATGATGTGTCAAGTCCTTGTAGATATCATTGGGATTTGGGTCACCCACAGGAGGCTTGTTACTGCAATTACACAAATTCGAATTTAGATCGAAAGGGGTTCAGAAAAGCCAGCACTTTGATCACAAAGTAGATCGAGTTCCCCTCCCCAGGGGTGAGTAGGTTGGAACCCAGTTTGCTCATCAGGTCAACACACTTCTTGAGTGCCTCACACTTTCATGCCCCAAGGGGAAATATTCAGAACCTTCACGCACGCATCAATCAATGTCATATATGGTGCTCCATATTCTCATTGATCTCACTCACTAATATTGAGGTGCTGCTGATGAAAACACTGCTCCCACAAGGATGGACAGACATGCTGACAGGTACACTGATGATTTCTGAGGATTTAAAAAAAAAAAGGTTTTCACAATCTTTCAACAACAAAAGTTGAAAAAAAATCTTACTTGGTTCATTTTGTTTTCAGGCGTTTCTCAAGAGATCAAATCACAGAAAACTTCTAATGCCCCCTATATTTTGTTCAAAAATTGTGAAAGAAAAAAAAGACACGTATGAATGTCAAATAATGAAC